GATAGCCTTCTTGTAGCTTTGCGCGAAATCCATAACAAAGAATAACGCTATTTTAATCCAAATCTGAGCATTACCCCATTTACCCTAATACTACTGTAGCCACATGTGAACACTACTTTAACCCCATCACTTAGAACAAATTTGAAAATTAAATGATATATTTACCAGCAACCCCCCCCCAAAATAATAATAATAATAAAATAAATAAAAGATGATGAAAACGGGAAATATTCATTCATCACGTAGGCCTGAAACAAAGTTGTTGATAATTAACAAACAACCTATTTTGTATGTCTGTCTGCGTGTTTTGACATTGAACACCATACTTATAGTTTATCAAAACTTGGTTGTCAGGCAATACTATAAAGTAAAAACAAGAGGGAACCCTCAATAGCAGCGGTCAAGAGATGACGGAGCTAAAAGTTTGTACTTGAAAACTCAGAGCCATTCAATAAGCAACTATGGCGCGGCTAAAAACGCAATCTTTTAGGTCACATTATGTCAAACTGCGATATTAACTCGAGTTTTCACTCTCCACGTTATAATTTTTATTCTACTCACTAGTAACAGACAGACAGAATTGGAAAACTATAAGTAACAGATAATAGGAAGATGACTTCTTCACTCATCACTACTCAACAAGCTACACAGATACATCCACCACCAGTTTTTTTTCTATTAAATCGAGTTTCTTTTGAGAGAATTATATCATTTGTGTGATAACGATAAGAATTGGATACTTTTCTTCTAGTGCCATCTCGTGACAAAATATAACGATATAATGTCCTGACTGGAATACTTTAACGTTATTTTCTTGTACGTTTAATATTGTGGTGTAGTAGTTTCTAATAATAGTTTTAATTATTTGAGAATTCAATCCTTAAATAATCTAACAAATTTTAGCCACGGAATTGTTCTCATTTCGCTACAAATATTAAATTTGTTCATGTAAATGTATCATTAAAGTCACAGAACGAATGTTCCAGCTCAATCCGCACTCGAAAGAAAATCCGTTCAAACAACTCAGTCAGTAAAGTTAACGGTAGATTTATTGATTAAAATATTGAATAGATTATTCTAACGATTAACAATCCTCCCTCGAAGAACTGTTAAGGTTTACAACTCAAATTAAGCATTCTCCGCTACGTTTTCAAAGATTTCTGCTAAACATTTTCTTTCCATCACTGATGACGTATTTTAGTATAGAATTAACACTTAAGACATGCGCACAAACTTATAGTTGCAGTTACTGCTTTAACAGCTCGTGTTTACTGAGGACTGGGGAAAGCGCTCTATAAAGATAATCTAAACTATTATTTCACAAATGTGTTTGTTTGTGTCCGCTTATAACTGTCGAACCGTTGGGCCAATTTGTCACCAAACCTGTGACGTATCCTTGGGAGCATCCAGAGAGCGACATTGAGGTATCAGAGT